AAAATTATTATTTATGTATTATAAAAGGAAATTATTTAAAAATATATAAAACAAACCAAAATCTTTATATTTTGAAACAGAAAAAGTAATATATTTTCCATAGAAATGTAGATCCCAAATCTGAAACGCCCACACGGAAAATTGAACAAAAAGTAGAGAATTACTAATATTAAAGAAATCCAACAATTAATTTGATTGTCAATTCTTTTTTTTTTTTAATGGAAAATTGAATATCAATTCTTGTTGCAGGGTTCTCAGCTATTGTGGGTTAGTCCATCCAACAGGAGCTACCGTCGGCCTTTTCTTGTTTTACAACTATCAATACTGGGAGCGGGTTACGCTGGAGAAGGTTCTACAAGTTATGTTTACAGGAATGAGCTTAAAAAACGCCGTGGAAAGGCGACGGAAAATACGTCAAGATCCAACTCCAGCTCCGACTCCGCCTCCAACTCCAGCTCCGACTCCGCCTCCAACTCATCTCCGACGACATGTTGCGGAACAAAACCAGGATGTACATGTTATCATCCGGACAATCGGTTAGTTGGGTGTATAGCACCAGCTGCAACTGCAAGAGAAAGTTGTGTATGCCTTTTTTTGGGGCAACAATACAATTGGAGACCACATGTGTGCCCAACGATGAGAGAGGGAGCCCGAGAAGGATTACGCACATGTTGCTATCCGGAGTTATGTTGCACAGAGAAAGAGAATAGCGGGAACTCATCAGTAAACGACCGGGAACAAAATACGGTGAAGAACGGTCCACAGGACACAGAGGAAGATATGGATAGTGAGTCAATACCGCTACAGCAGGAAAATGCGAGGAAAATGAGGAATCGTATAAGAAGAAAGTTATTTGCTGCTAAACTTCCAGGGACAATCTTGGGTACAGTGCTTGCAGCAGTGTTTTCAATCGAAGTTTTCATCAAGATTTCAACAGCAGTGACGGTAATCAGTTACAATTTGTTCTTCTGGATGGGTGCTAAATGTTACGACCTTGGTGAAATGGAAAATGATATAACGGATGAAAAGGACGAGAAGAAAATTGATGGAAAGTGTGGAAAGCAAGATAAAAAGGATGAAGAGAAAATTGATGGAAAGTGTGGAAAGCAAATTCCAGATGCCTTAGTTCCAGAGGTAAAGAAAGCAGTAAAAGTGGTTCTAGAACTATTACTTTTATGGGTAACATTCGCATCTACATGCTATCTGGTTAATGCAACAGCTGACTCTTTCTTCATGGAACAAGTTGATTATCTAGAGAACAATACCGAAAGCTTAAAGATTCCTAAATCCGTTTTCTTCTCCTTTCCGGATATTGTATCCAACATAACTGGGGAGGTGAGCTCTCTTCTAGTCGAGCGGTTCCATGATGAAGAAGGGCGTTGGGCTAGGCTCCTCAGAATCAGCATTGGTATGCTTTTTTCCTCTTTGTGTTGCATAGTAGCTTCTCTTGTTGCTCACAGATTGGATTCCAATTATAATTCTGCCAGCATGCTGTGGCTTCTGCCCCAGTTTCTTCTGTTAGGAATGATGAGAGGAATACTGGAAGCAGGGTTAGAAGAATTTCTCCATGACCTTCTCCATGAGCATATAGACAATGACTTAGCGGTGGAAGCAGTGAGCGGAATGGCGGAACTTGTAGGGAGCTTGATCAGTACGATACTCACAGCAGCTTCTCCAAGCAGCTGGGTTCCCAGTGGCAATGACATTAGCAAAAGTCATCTTGACAATTACTATCGCATGCTGGCAATTATAACCCTATTCTCCACATTTTTGTTCACCATTGTTGCCATTGCCTATGAATTACGGGCAAAAGAGGATACGGTTAGGAGTGGGAAGAAGGGCTGAAGCTCTCCTGGCATGGTTGTAATTTTTCTGTTTTGGTTATTTTGTGCTTGACTGTTTCTTTGGATGGTTTCTTAGATTCCTTGTGAATTTGTGTATTATGCTACACTTTGTTTATTTGTGTTGTATAATGCTATAACTGGATGTAATATGTCTACCTTCTCCAAATTATCAAATTCTCCAAGACCTCGCTTTAAAAAGTTTCTGTTAAGAAAGAAAACAAAGTTTTTACTTAAAGTTGAATTGAATAATTTTGTCAGTACTAACT